AGTAACACAAACTGCACAGAAAGAGTTCAGTTATTTTTTTCCACAGACTATTTCAGCAATGGAATAGGTTTAAAACATCATCACTCATTCTTGCATCAAGTTTGTATTGAAGGAATAAAAAGGACTACATTAACTACTCAAAATGAATTGCCTAAGAAATCATTCAGAGACCTTGCTGGCTTTCTTTTCCTATAATCACATCACTGCAACTGAGTGCAGACAATGGAAGAGCCCTCTGTAAACACAAGATTTAGCACAGCTCTAGTAACAGAAAAACAAACTGAATTTCAGTTGTGATTCTTTAAGCTCTGTATACTAGCTTTTTACTGAAAAGTTTAAAACTCTGTACTTTGCTCAAATGACTGCAGAATGTCTTCAGTTCTGTTACACCCACTTTTGCACCCTATTGATAAAAAAATTTCTAATGAATAGTGGTATCAGTGGAAAAGCATACAAACCTTAGCACTGTAGAGATGATCAGCATCAGGTGGATCAAGGACAGCAGCGTTCTTATCTATAGGATCTACTTCTCTATGCATTACATAGAAATTACAGTAGTTTCCCAGCTGAAATGGTCTAGACATAGGGAAAGCATCCACCCACGTGAACTGAGCATCAAAGAAGTCGCTGGGGATGTACAAGTTCTGGTAACGCCTCCTCAGCTCCATCATATCACAGCTACGGCTGAAAGACACGCAGTATTTACAGATACAGCAGTTAAGAGCTATTAACCAAGTACATCATCAAGAAGTATATTAATTGGCAATACAACCACTGTATATTTGATGCTGCACATATAAAATCTCAAGAACATTACATTTGAATGTCATGGACGAAGTTTAAAAAAAAGTAACTATTAACCACTTCCAATTCAGGTGTCTGCATGTTAGGGAATGTTCACTGAACAATGCTACAAAGCTATTTTGCAATAGCATTCTAAAGTAACACAGAACCTCCAACAAGTTCATCATACAAGGTTCTTAGCCATTACATACTCGACCCTTCTCTGCAGTCAGGATCATCATCCAACACCCACTTACACACACGTGGGCTGACATGGCTCACGGTAGCTGTGCCACGATTACGGGAACTGCAGGGAAACCCCTGGCACTACAAACATACCAGTCCAACGAGAACTTGGAGAACTGCACGGTGTAACGAGGAACGACGCGCCGCGGTCTCCGCGGGGACCTCTCCCTCTCGCGCCGGGGCGATCGCTCGCGGGAGCGTTTCCTCTGCGGAGATCTTTCCCGGGACCTGCGCCTCTCTCGCTCTCTTTCACGACTTAAAAAACACACACAAAACGCAAATATTTTTGCAGGCTGGTAACACAAAATGATTTCTGGCACAACAGAAGCCAGACCTGTCAGAGACAACTCAAAAAAGGCAAGCTTCAGAACGGTCTCTTTACATGAGAAACTGATTACACAACTCCTTACTTTCACATAGATAAGAACTCTTCCATAATTCCTAAGGGTAACACCACTTGTGTGTCTTGCTGACCCACTCTGGAGCAAGCAGCTCAGCTCTGGGTCAGGAAAGGTTTTATGGAATGCTTGGATCACAATCTGGTCTACATACCTCCTGTCATCTTTTCGGTTTGGCATAGGGTCTCCACCTCGGTCATTCCTCCCAGAAAACCTGGATGGTGGGTCTAGTCTTCGAGCTGGTTGTGGCTGTGAAACCAGACGGACTGGGGGCTGCAGCAAACCACCTGAAACAGAACGTACAGCATCAGTACAGAACAGGGGGCAACTGCCTGCACTTGGCAAACACTGCTGCTTACAGCTGCTTCACTTGTGTACGTTTTCTAACCTAACTCTACAGTCAAATTTATCCCGTGTTAACACCCACACAAAGAAACTCAAGAGACCTAAGCTTTTCTTCACTGTGGCAAACTGACACTCTTTAATAAACTGACACATTTTAATAAAGTGAAATTGGTTTAAAAGCATCTTCTTGAGATGGAAGCTAATATAACCTAAGCACACAGAATTCATCTTAATAAACAGCTAAGCCTTTTCAAAACCATAAATTGTAGATATACTACCTACTCACTGAACTGAAGGAAAACTGAAATCCTCATTTTAAGGTTTTTCATACATAAAAAGAAAAAATTATTCCTAAATCAATGTATCATACTGCTACATCAATCCCTCAGCACATAATTTCTTTGCCTTGAGATATTTAACCAAGTGATTTAAGTGAAGCAAACGTTACTAAACACCAATGAACGACGATGACTAATTAGATTGTAGTAAGCATTTGTGCAAAACAATTCTGCTACGGTTTTCTGCCCTTGCTTTTACTGTGTTAAGATCAGTCCTAATATTATCACTTCTATCACTGATTCCTTAGCCACTCAAAGCTCGAGAGACTTCACAACCTTTGTTTTACATTTGCCATGTTCGGCAGTGTTTCTCCTCTCAGATGCCAACCTGGCTAACTGAATTTAATAAGCAAGAAACAACAGCTTTAACAACATAACTGCAAAACCCGATTTTGTGGAAAACTGCAGAAGATGCTGAAGGACTGCACTGCTATTAATACTTTCAACTCCCCACCTTATCTGAGAAAGAACAAAAACTTACATTGAATTTGCTTTTGGATTACAAAATCTTAACATGAACAGGAGTCCACGGGGACTTCACTAACCAGGTGATTCTGAGCTACTGCAGGCAATGTGCCTTGCACACAGCTGCAGGGAGACATATTCAATCTGAAAACTCAGCAAAGCCCCCTCCATATTATTTCAGCTATTACTTCCACCTTGTAATTAACAAGAAAATAACCATCACCAGAAATAGGAGTCTCCTCGAGCCAGGTCTCATAAGCTCTTGGAGATCTATTTTTCACCCAAGATAGCTCAGCTACCTTAGAAGACATAAAATCAGCAGGATGGCTTCTGTTGCAGTGTTGGAAACAAAAAAGTTGTAATAAAAGGCAAAACAACAAAACTCTTTACAGAGAAACACCGAGCCAGGTGCAAGAGTCCTTGCCCCTGGTAAAACACCTCACAAAAACCATTAGTTTCTTTGCTCTCTTCTTTTTCTAGTGAATTGCCCAGGCAGGACTTTTTGGCTCCTGTCCAATTGGCAATCCTTAAGCTTGAGGTGAAGTCCCCCAGGTCCTATGAGATGCCTTTTCACCTAATCGAGGAGAGAAACTTCTGGGCTTATTTCCTTTTTAAGGGGACAAAGGATAGTTTTGTCACTCCGTCAACAGGGGGCACATCCCTATAATCACCCACTGAGCACCAGAGTGACCCCCCAAAAAGCGTGCGCTGAGGAGCACCTTTCTGCTGTGGCTGCTGCAGCAGCGGCTGGGGCTGTGTCTGGAGCAGAGGTGTGATGGAGGCTGCCGAGATCTGCGCCTGCAGCAGGGACTGCGGCTGCGGCTGCGCCTGGACGCCGAAGGTCTGCTGCGCGATGGGCTGCAGGACGGCCGGCGGCGTCTTCAGCAGCGGCTGCGCCTGGCTCTGGTTCTAGGGAGAGATGGCAGTGAGGAGCGAGCTCCACCCAGCCAGCCCTGCCCCGACACCTACAGCCCCACCCACCTGGTTCGGCAGCGTCTGGATCCTTTGGGCGTTCCATTTGAAGGGCATGTTGGGGTTGTAAGTAGCTTCTACCAGAACTCTGTCACCCACCTGAGGTGTCTTGCCTTTAACAGCACTGCAAACGTGACACAAAATGTACGTGAGAGGCTTCTTTAGCTAGGTTTTTTGCATGTTACATTTAAAGATGGCAGAAAGTAGGCAAAATTCATTAAAAAAAGCTTACGGGAACAGTATCTACCCCCAAATTCAGCATTAATGCTACCTGCTTCAATTCAGGTATGCACAGGAACTTAGTAATTCCCTGTCTTTGGCCCTAAGGGAAAAGTTCCCCAAAGAATACCACTTTAAGACATGCAGACAGCAGGTTTTATGCTTTTAATCACCCACAAATTCTGCAATTTCCTATTACACAAAGCTAGTAAATACCAAGCTTTGGGCTTTGTATTAAAAAAAATTCACATGAAGAAACTCAGACTTAGCATGTATTAACCTCTCTGACTTTCACTGTTGAATGAAAACAACACACTATTGCCCAGAGAATTAGTGTGCAATGACTACCGAGAGCATCACGGAGCACATCCGCAGGCGAGCGCTCACAGCTTACCTAAGCTGAAAAAAGACATCTTCATCGACAAAGCCAAAGGTGTCATGCAGCTTAGTGACCACGCCAGTGAAGACACGCTGCTTCTGCGGCTGGGTTTGCTGCTGGCTGGAGCGGGGGGCGGGGTAGGAGACAGTGATCTGCGCTGCCGGCTGCGGCGTGGACAGGCTCAGGCTGGTCGGGAGCGCGACTGCCGGCTGCAAGCGAAACAGAGCCACGCTCAGGGCTGTAAGAGCTGGCACGCTGACAGGGAACAGCTCCTGCAGCCACCCAGACAGCAGCTCAAAATGACCAGAGCACCCAGGACAGACATTTTCAGACGGTGGTGGCAGCTTCTTGTGGTTTTTGTTGGGTTGTTGGTTTTTTTGGAGATGACATGTTTCTTACTTTGAATGAAGATTGGTTTTGTTTATCCTTCTTTTTTACAAGAGTCAGCTTCCCCCAAAAATGTAACTTGTCCAGACAAAAAGCATCAAGACTGCATTATTGTCTACAGGTAACCCATACAGTGGGCCTGAAGTGGAGATGAATTCCCAGCTTTGCTAGGAATAAACGCTTAAGAAGTCATTCTGCATTTATATCCCACCTGGAATATGAGAAGTCAGTAAAGGCTGAGGCCAACACAAACCCTTCCCTAATTCAACAGGTCACGTACTTCCCTTACAAAAGCAGAGCACAGTAAGATAACGAAATCAAGTCAAACATTTTTACCTTTTTATAGCCTGAACTTTAAAAGTTCAAGTGAAAATGGAACTAGAGGAATTTGCAATGTGTTAAATGGCTCCATGTTTTAAACCCGTCAAACTCAGCAAGGTTCTGTTTAAACCTCTTTATACACATACTGTTAATACAGGAAGTTAAATTCCTTCACAAAGAAGAGAAAGATCTTTCTCATTTGTTATTTACTGCAAAACAGCTGGACACTTGAAGTTCAAAGAAAAAAAATTTGAAATATAATCAACACACATGTTCCCTTCAAGATTAAGGAAGAGTGGTTGCTACTAATTTTTGAAACCAAGGCTATGCATATTTTAATAAAATCTGGATAAAATAAACCTGTACCAATAAAATATCCACTCATATTAGTTCAGATTACAGATTAAAATACCAAGATACCACAAATTTGCACTCTTGCATTATCTGTGTTTGGGGATGAAGACCAAACAATAAAACCAAACTAACCTGAGTTAAAAGGGTCTGCTGAGGTTGCTGCAACTTAAAATAAATAAAGTTATAAATTAATTTTATATGCTTAAGGAAATTGTACAATTCTACCTCCTCTTTACAAGTAAGAGTTTTTGCTTAATCTGAGTCAGTTAATAGTCCTTTAGGGCTTGGTAATTTCAGCAGTTTGCACATCTGTAAAACTGTGCTTGTGGGGTTCATTTTGAGATCGTATAACCCAGGTTTATACAGAAAGGAGAAATGCTAAATTTTTTTTAACTGAAAGTTAATAGCAATACCAAAAAAAATTTGGCAGCTGGAACAGCTTAGGCATGTAATTCCCTTGTACTTTTATTGTTTCCAAAAAATCCTGTTAAGTTAGAAGATCATAATAAAAATCCAAAAGGGAACGTTTTTGGACAGCGTCTTCCAGCAGTTAAAATACACGGCCCTGTTTGGAGCAAAGTTCAGCAGAGAATCATTTACACATGGAATAGTACGTATTTTTAAAATTTGTTTTTGCAGGAAGGTAGGCAGGTTTCCATTCTGCATGTGTCTTTCCAAGTTTATGAACTTCAAGCTCTCTTTTGCCACACAAAGTATTACTTAAGTTTCTTTAACAACTTCCCATATGAGGATGATTTCGGAGACAAATCCTACAAGACACACAATCAACATTATTTTAAAGTTATTTGTGATGTACACAGTAAGAATCAGACAAACCTGTTGTTGTACACTATAGAGAGTCTGCTGAGGTTGAGAATATTGCTGAAACAGATAAAAGCAAAATATCTTATGAACAGGAGAATTATTACCACAGTAATATCAAATATGTTACCTGCTTAGAAAGCTCTAGATAAAAATAATTAACATTTAACAATTTTAATTTAAAAATAGCTAATTATATCAATGTATATAATTTTAATAACAAATATTCTGAGCCTTTAGAGTGGGCCCTGATGTTCTCTTTCTAGCTGAAGTCAGCAATTTTTGTTAAGCCTCACGCTTAAGACAGTATTTAAGGCACATTACAAAATCATGCAAAATCCCATAGTGGTGGGAGATACTCGAGATTCTCCGTTTAGATGCAGCAAAACCCATTCTCCCAAAGGGCTTTCCACAGCTAAAAATCAACTCCTCCACAGCCCAACTTCCACCCTCACCGACCAATCCCACCACCGCTAGCTATAAACACCACCCCCCCATGGATAAGACAGGTTCACACTGCAATGTTCACCATTTTCCATTCTCCTTTCCTCCTGGATCCTTTAGCTTTACGGAGTTCGGGGAGCGCCGGCCGCTGTGTGTGCTTTACCTGCTGCAGGGCCGCGGCCGCGGCTGCCGCCTGCTGCTGGAGCGCGGCGCTCTGTGTCAGCTGGTAGTTGGTGGGGGTCTGCGTGGTCAGCCCCGCGGCTGCCAGCGCCGTCTGCTGCGTGTACAGGGTCGGGGAGGCTCCCAGCAGCGAGGGCTGCTGCACGCCCAGGGCAGCTGCGGAGGGAGGGAGGGAGGGAACACGGCCCGTGAGCGCCCGCAGCACCGCGGCTCGGGCAGGACGCGGTGCGCGATGCTCTGCGCCTCGGCCGAGCTCACCGAGGGGTGAATCAAGTCCCAGAATTCAAGACCCATCCCGCTAGCTTCTCTTCTAAATCGATCTACCAAGCTTTTCTTCTCAATTCATCTAGCAACAGTAAACCACAGCAGAGGAGCAGAGACCATTACACTTCCCCCTCCGGAGCGCTCACGATTTCACAGCTCTGTAGCTGTCATCCCCAGCTGCACCCACCCCCACCCCCGGGTACTTTCTGGAAGGTATTTCAGGCTCTGGATGAGCCAAATGAAGATTGCTGCTCTGCTCTGCACTTTAATACATTGCACTCTATTGAGGGCAAGAGAAAGCTCTACTGTAACAGCATCTATGAAACAGAGGCTTATGGAACGTGTCCTCTGAAATCACCAAGTTTTTGCTTCACTCAGTGCTGTCTTTGTCCCCTGTGAAGTGGGGGCTGGTGGAGAAGGAACAGCCTTGCAACAAGAGTTTAATCAGTCTGCTTGTATAAGGAGACTGAAGCTCTCTCCAGCTCTTAATAGGAAGGGTTTGTGCTGCCCAGACTCAAACTGCCTAGAAGGAAAGATTCGTTTATTTTATTGTCATGCCAGCTTTTAATTCACCAGAGAACGTAAGCAAATCACGAGGAGCAGCTAAGCACAGGCCATGCTTCTGAACAAGGTATGCTCAAGGTTTACAGATGGATCTTTTGGGTGACAAAGAGCCCAAAAATTTGCAAAATGTAAATCTCAGCAAAAAACTGCAAACATATCTGGAAACCTACTCCCTTCTCTGGCAGGATTTTTAAAAAAAGTTATCGGCAGCTGCATGATCAAATATCACTTCATTAAACTATCAGTCTAGTCCACGTGTTTAAATAAAACCAGAGAGAAACTGGGCAGGGAAACATACTGCCAGCAAAAACAGGTCAGTCTTCAGAACTGAGCAACATTCAAGATTACCACAGTTCTTCTCTCTTCCAAAGCCATCAAAGAAAATGGAATGAGGAACAGATTTACAGTATTCCTGCAGAGTTTGTGCTCCACACTGTTCTTACCGATGCAAAATGAAGCTTTCATTCCTGAACCAGGGATGCAGTAAAACACTGCTCATAGTGGGTGATTGCTACCATAATGCTGTACCCCACTCAACAGGTCCTGAATAATGTCACCCTTCCTACCACACTGCTCTTTCCAGCAGAGCAGTCTTTGCTGATGGCACTGATCATCTTGTAATTTTGGAATGAAACAGGAAAGAAATACATGAACAGCACTGAAAATAACTATCACTATCACAGCTATCACTATGATCTGTATCAAATACTGCCACATAAACATTCCAGGAAGTAACAGTATTTTAAAAGTGAAATCAAGCATTCTGCAGTGTACAGCATTTAATTAACTTTCCCCCCTGGAAAATTCCAAAATTTGCATTTCTTTACAAGCCAGCAAACAAAATTAGAGGCTTCTCTCCTGACAAACCCTCCACTGTCTTCATCCTCTTGCCTCCTGTTTGATCACCAGCTTCAATTTGAATGTGCAGTTTGGGCCATCCAGAAGGACACCCTCAACTGGATCCTCACCACTGTCTCCCGTAACATGCCCTAAACAGACCTTTAAATATAAGTCAAAAGCTCTGCTGCTGTATCCTGGGACAACTGTCACTTTCCTTGGCTGTAGTGCTTTGCTGGCTCAGTCAATGCATTCATCTTTCTCCTCTTACTTCCACATGCCGAGCAGAAATTCCCATTAGTGCAGAAATTTGCTGCATGCTGTTACCTTTGAACACGTGTGACCATGCCAGCTATTGTCATTCAGTCCAAAGGTCTATCCTAATGTTGTTCCAACACAGGGGGATGGAGTGGGGAAGCATTACCAAAAGCAAATTTCACAAGTTTTCTCCTACTTTGTGTACCAATGGTACCCACAAAAATGCCTACTCCCAAAACCAGATCCTGGGACTATTCAGCTCTTCAGTTTCGCATTGGCAATTTCCATTTCAGCATTACTCAGAATTATCTCAAGCAATTCCCAGCCCATCCTAAGACCCTTATCCCATTTTGTCAACTAAGGAAAACCAAGAAACGTTGCCATCTCTACTGTCACTTTTTGAGCATTTAATATTAACTGGGTATTTTTGTCTACAACACTGCAGATCAACCTACTAAGAAAGGGCAAAGACAAAAGAGAGCCAAGATCCTCTGAGGATAACACCTGTAGTAACAAGTTTTTCAAAGCTGTATCTTGTTCCCACTGATTTGCCCAGAAGTATTCCAAGACTTTCATCTGACTACCTTTCATCTGTGTACTCATCTTGGTCTAACAGGCTCCAATTAATTAGGCAACTGAATTTGCATTACTAGTTAAAAATAAAATAAAAAATTAAAAAAAAAAAAAAAGAGAGAGAGAACAAAAAGGAAAAATCACACAGAAAAACAAGAGACCGAGAATTAATCAGACTGAGTCTGGAACTGACATCTGACTGCCACATTATTGTTACTGGCAACAAGCATCTGCAGTGGCAAACAATAGCTTCTCAGGATTTGTAATCATCTCAGTAAGTACAGCAAAGGAGATGCCTTCCTTCACACGCAGTGCAAACAACTCTCACTGGCACCAGATACTGTGTGGCACCTCCAGCTGGAAGAGCTCAGACAGAAACTGGGGTCCCTAGGCTGCAGCTCTGGATTAGGTTATAGACATTTCTGCTGCAACCAACACAAAGACAGTATTTAGTAGTGCCTCTTCCTACCCCTAAACCCTAAAGATCCCTAGAAGTTAGGGAAACATCTTCAAAATACACAGCTACATGTCTCCTTGGTCAGTGACACAGCTGTATTAGAATGACAGTAAAGGAGTACCCTGTGCAGGGCTTGGAACACTTCTCACAGTTGTCAGAAATTGTGAGACTGGGTTCTTGGGCTTCCAAGTTCTTTAAGCTTCACACACTTGCAATACAAACATCACACAACCTACTCCAAAACCACTCCTTTTAACAGGCACACACCAGAAACCAGGCTCAGCCCATTTGTCACGGGACATCTGTTTACAGCAAGCCAGCACACGGTGCACCAGCTCCCATTCCTTAGCGGGCTGAGATTCAGCACATGCTCACCCTGTCCTTACACATGGCTTCAGTCACCTCACAGGGCCACCAAGCTGCAGGCACTTCAGCTCCCATCAGCTGCACCATTCCTCACTCCAACGCAATGAAGTCTTCATACAGCAAAGACAACACCACCAATCAGGCAGAACACAGCAGAGCCAGGACTTCCCAGCACCACAGCTCTATAAAATCAGGCTTTTCATCATAACCCATAAACAGCACTGTGACACAAACCAGAGAGGTGCCAAAAATGAAGAGCTAGAGAGGAGGAGGGAATTCTCCTTTGCAGGCGTTTCAGGAGTTTGCACATTATGCAAGTAAAACTAATTTTCTGTAGTAGGCATGATTTAATTTATTCTTTAACAATGCTTAACCACCATGGAGGGGGCTTTATTCTGGTTTTAGTCTTGTGATGCATAAAAGCATGGGATGAAGAGCAGACAAAAATTCACTGTGTTACATGTAGGAGTTTCTCTTCACACATTGACCTCTGCTGGCACCTGGAATTGCCCATCCCTCTTCTAATTCCACAGGCAGAGAGAGTAATTAATAAACCCTCCCAAAGGGATCACAGACCCCTCATTACGTAGCACATCAGTCTACAACCAGAGTGCCACACCTTAATAATTAAGAGCTTTAACTCATTTAGTTACTTCTTCACCAGGGATGGCCAAGACAGCATCCACATCAGCAATTCAAAAAAAATCCACCAAAAAATTCCTAAACCAAAACAATGAAAAACACAAACCCTCAACACTGATACTACCTTTTTTGCAATAATCAGATTGGGTTTCTAACACCATCACTCACTGCTTCTGACAGCTTGAAAAAAACTCTATATCATGTTGTTTGTGTTACAAAAATCCAGATCTCCTTCCCTCATCCCCAAGCACCTCAAAGCTTTGGAGAAGGAACCTGACACTTGGGACAAAAACAGCTGGGATGCATAAATACATGTAACAGCTTTGGCCAACCCTCTGAAAGGACGTTTTCAAAATGAGTTTGCTAACACTGAGGTTCACAAGGATAAGCCAATATGCACCATTTCTTGGGTGCAACATGGGTGAGCAGCAGTTGAGGCTGGTCAGCACACCTGAGCTCTGACAGCACCTCTTCCTTAGGAAAACAGCCTCCCTGGAAGGTCACGACTTCACACTAAAAGGGACAAGTTCAAGCAGAAACACTGTTCTTCAGGTCCCAGCAGTGTCAAAGAACACTGCTCACCTTCCAAAAGATGCTTCCTCTGCTCTGTATTATAAATCAAAATACCTATTAAAAAAGCAGGGGAACAATTATGTACTAAAAGAGCAGCTGGGCAGAAGAATCCCAAGGACTGGATTCAGGGGAAGAAAGAGGATGCAGACATGGTGACTTGACTGCAGCAGGAACAGGAAAGGACAATGTGAAGAGGACACCAGGAACATGAAGGAACATGGAGCTAGCACAGGAAGAAGGCAGAAGCACAACCTAATGTTACATCTTTAGTGTCTCTCGTGTTTGAGTCAGGTGCTGCTGGGTCAGATGGACAGCTGTAAACCCCTGCAGATGCTGGCCTCACTGAGCAGGTGAAAACTCTCACAGCAACTGATGCTGACCAGTTACATCTGCACTTCATCTAATTTAAGGAGGCTCAGAAGTGGCTGGCCCAGGCAGAGTCACAAGCACAAGAAAAGGGGTAAGAGGCTGATGCAGGCTCCATCCACCCCTCCTGCTCCTACCCCAGCAAGCTCTAAGATGACTGCCAGCTCCTCCCCTTGGCAGGTTTTGTGCAGCTTTCCCTCTGGAACAGGACATGGAGCTCCCCCCACTATTTTTGATGCATCAGCTGTCACATCAGCCAACACACCAAGAACAGTCCAGCCCAGGAGCTCCCATTCTTTGACTGCTCCAGTGTCTGCCCCAGTCTTGACATGAGAACCAAAAGAAAAGTTTGTCTCTCCCACATTCCCAACCCTTTCCAGCTGTTAGGGATTTTCTTACAGAAGGAGATAGTGCCATTTGGATAAGGGAAGTGTGAGCTATTCAGAGAAAAACTGCCTGTGGGCAGCTGCTCAGGGACAGCAAGAGTTGAGGTAGGGAAGGGAGCAGAGTGGGCATGGAGGAAAAGGAAAAGGCAGACTGGGACAAAGTGCTGGGAGGCACATGGGGGTGGTCACTCCCTGGGGATACACAGTGTGAGTGGAGCAGTGCCCATGGGAAACACTGCAGATAAAGGATTCACCTTGGGAAAGAAAACTGAGGCAGGAGAGGAGAAAGATTCCTATCCCAGAGATGCACCTCCAAAGAATGTCAGACATTCCCAGCCTCTGCCAGCTGCCATTGACAAAGGAGGTGTGACACTGAACTTTGTGTCAAACCAGAGCAACTGCAGAACCCACACATCCTGAACCCTCAGCTTTGCTGAACTCTCTTCACACTGCACAACATAACTCCAACATCTCATTAACAAACTATTTGTACTCAAGAAAAGCACAAGGTGCTCCAGAACTGGAAATGACAGCACCCAAATTCATCGTGCATCCTTGCCTCAAACCTTCTGTGCTGTAAGCCAACATACCAATGGAACCAGCCAGGTTTCTTAACCAGTGACTTGCAATTAATAACACTTCTTAGCTCAATCAAAGGAAACTCTCTACCATTATTAGAGCAATACCTCTGGTTATAGGGACTTTAAATTCTAATTCAGCATTAAAAAATAAATACCCCCCTTCTCACCCAAGCAACAAATTTCAGAGAACTTTCCACTATGTGGATTGTATCTAATCTATCAATAAAACAAATTAAAAAAATAATTTGTAAACATTGATTCAGGCTGCCCAAGAAATGAAACTCAGGCAGCACTTAAGAAATCTGAAATGCCTTACTAGAGCTGATATTATTTAGTCCAGAACCGTGTAATTTCATAGGAGGTAATCTGATTTACACATCTTGGGATATGACTAACTTGATCTGCTGTTTATTGACTAAAACAATCAATACAAATTCACCTGGGAGTTTACTCACACCCCTTAAGAAAACCAAATAACAAAACCAACAGACATTACCAGACAACGACTTTTAAAGTCTCTATTGGGGGAAAAAACTCCCGATTTAAACCACCTAAATAGACTTTAGATAAGTGAGTTAGCATCGTGCCACTCTGAAGTGCATAGCCAAGTATGGGATCTCCAAATCTACTAGATGTCAGGGTTCAAGCATCGAGTGTAAACTGACCTGGCTGAGACACCGCAGTGGCTGTAAACTGAGTAGCCCAAGGGGGATTTTTCTGTCCTCCAAACTGAGCCATGGCAGAAGGTAGAATCTCCCGGGTGTCTATCTTCCGTAACTGCAATCTAGTAAAATAAAGCGCAGCTGCAATCTTTGAAACAAATACCGTCAGGCTATTTTAATTCTGGGCCAAAAAAAAAAAAAACAAACCAAAAAAACAAACAAACAAAACAAAAACCCAACCATCCAAAAACCAACCCCACAAAGCCAGAAAAGAATAAAACAAAAAAAAGAGTCTCGAAATATTAGTTTTACATCCCTAAAGCCCGGTGGGCAACATGCGCCGCGGATGGGGAACACCGAAAGTTGTAAAGCAAGTTATTTGATTTTCCTAAGGCACAATCGCCATCCCCCACTTCTTCGAAACGGGACTAACGCGACTCAAAACGCAAAAACGCGCTCCCATTTCCATCAAGCCTGAGGGAAAGGTGACTCTGCGGAACCAAGAACTGATGGTTGTTATTTGCTCCCCACGGCCGTGCCCGGCGGGCGCGGGAGGCGCTGGCGGCGGAGCGCCGCTCGCGTTCCCGCACGGCCGCTCCGGGCCCGGCGGCCGCGGCAGCCGGGAACCACGCGGGCCGGGCCGCCACCAGCCCCGCCGCCTCCCGCTGCCCGGGCCCGCGCCCGCCGCTCGCCACCGGGGCCCGTCAGAGCTCCTTTACCCCCTCGGCAGCCGCCGCTCCCGGCCGCGTGTCCGGGCCCCGCCGCCGGGCGGAAAGCGCCGCACGGGAGAAAGGCAAAGGGAGGCGGAGGCGGCGGCGGCGCCGGGCCGAGCGGGCGGGAAGCGGGGCCTTCCCGCCCCTTCTCCCTCCTCCTTTCTCCTCGTCCTCCTCCCGCCGCCCCCGGTCCGCCCCGCCCGGCCCGGCCCGGCCCCGCACGCCTCGGGCCGCCCTCCGCCCCAGCGAGGGCTCGGCGGTGCTCACACACCCCAGGCTGCCTCAGGGCTGCCGGACATAGGCAGCCCTCAGCCCCCTGCTGGCCCTCCGGTAGCCGACACACGTTCCGGGGATTCTGAGGGGGCACAGGGGTCATCTGAGGTGAGGGCAGAGCAGCCGCGCCACGGACGCGTCAAAGCTCTTAAGATGCTTTGGCACGGAAATTGCAGCCAGGATCAGTGCTGTAAGCAGTTCAGGACTTCTGGGCAAGAGTAATTTCTCTTCTTTCTTAGCCTGAATCGGAAAGGACTTAAAAGGATCGTCGAGTCCCGCTCTTTGAGTGGCCGATTCATGTAGGCATTGATCAAACCCATGACCTTGGTGTTGTTACAAACAGCTTTCCATCTTGTAAATAGTTTTTCACACGAGTTTGTTTTGAAGTGAGATATACACATGAATTCCTACCTACATTTGAGTAAGTCAGCACTTCGTAAATGAAAATTGGACTTTGAAGTGTTACATTGTCGTTAAAAACAGAAGTTGGTGATGGAATAAAATCTGAGAAGCAGCAACATCAAACTCGCAGTGAGGTGGATTATCCTGTAGGAGGGCATGTAGATAAAGAAGCAGAAGATCATCAGGTGTAAGTAAATTTCTGCCAGCATCTGCTAGTTAATAATACATAAAGACAGATCTGCCTTTGTTTTTTAAATTCTGTTTCAAATTAGATGAGGGTTTAGATGTTTTACATTCAGAAGCATAGTTCTTACCTTTAAAGTCTACACATTTTATGCCTTGTCTCTTCCTGGCATAACTCCACCCAGCTCAGTCATTTGACTGAAGCAGAATCTGTACTCTTAACCTGCAGAAAAGATTAAAAGGTTGCAGGGCTTTCTCCCACATTGTGTGTGAAAAGGACAATAGCAAAAGTGTATTAAAGAAGAAGGCAATTGTAGGTGAATATCAGAGCATTGTGAAGTATTGTGCACTCCTCTGGCCCAGGGTCTTTTTGTCAGACAATAAAGGCTCTCAAAGGAAGCCTCAGAGGAGCCTCAGCCCCGATTTCCTGTGCCTCAAGCAGAACATTTCTTGTACTTTTCCTTCCCAGACACACGCTGCTGCATTACCTGGCAGGTTTTGCCCCTGCCATTTTTAGCACACGAATGATTCCTTTTGAACTGCTGAGGTCTCTGGATCCTCTACTCAAGACAAACCACGCTGCTGTGATGAAAAACAGCTGTCATGGAAGTGGCAGTGAAAAATACGTGCACTTCTGGTCTTGTTTCTTAAAATAATTCTAGGCCCCTGGACTATCTCTTAAGTGCATTGGACAATTTAATCCAAAAGTGATGAGAGGACAGAAGTGTGAAATACATGAGATTTCCACAGATCACCTTAAAATAATGAGGCAGGTTGAGAAAAAGATACAAATTAGAAGTATTCACTCCCATAAAGTGAATTGTTGCTTCCAGCTTTCTGGTCTTAGGCATCTGCTATGAAAGAAAAATGGAAAAGGAAATGTGGTAAAAGCTTATTTTTGGTTGGGAAAAAAAACCCAACACCCCAAACATTTAATTGTGTTTGTGTTATGCATTTTGGGGACAGAACTGGAAGAGAAATTATGATCTTCTAATGAACAGGCTTTTGATAATCAGCACCATTGATAAGAGACAGGAATCAGTGTTTCACACCCAACATGCAGCTCCTCAGCCAAAAGTGAATAACGATGTTGTGTCTGTCCAGCTAAATGCTGCTTACAGGGAGATGGTTATTTCACTCAATGTGCACATGAAAAATCATTTTATTACTTTTCCATAATCTGGTTGGAAAAACCTTTCTGTGCATCCTGTTCAACTTCTGAGTTAATTTGCAGATCTAAACCTGTCACTACTGGAACCTGCTTTTTGCAGCTCTTGATGGGCTTGTTTGTTTATTCTCTTGAGAAGGCCAGAAGAGATCCTTCAGAGAGAATCAAACACATTTTTACCTTTCTGCAAATCCAGCAGTGGTAGCACCAGTCCAGTTAATGGCTTTTGGTGCTTCAGTTGTAATCAAGTGCAGCATGCAAGCACCTAAGCAAGTTATCATGGAGTTTTTGGTGCACAAAAGTTTCCCTTGTAGTCCTTTTGCCTGTAGCCGTTTGCACTTCACCCTTTGCCAAGCGTGTGACACAGTCAGTTCTGAAATTTTATAATAATACAACAAGCTGAACTTTATTGCTGAACTTTATTGCACACTGCTGTACAAAGTATTTGACAAAAGTGATTCTGAACTGGCCAGAGCCCTCAAGGATACAGGAAGGATGTAACAGCTCAACCAGCCTGCTCAGGTCTAGCTGATTGCAAGTAACGTTTGTTTGTCTATTTGTTTGTTTTTAAGAGTCACAGGGTAAGAAGAAAAAAGCTTTTGTGGTCTGCTATATTGCAATAAAATGAAATGCATTGAGAACAAACTTCTGACAAAGTTTTAAATGACTAGAAATATCAGGGCATAAATAAAGTAATTCTTAATTATTTTGTAGGTAATACACACCAGAAGCACAGGGAAATTTTTCACTTTGATAAAAGAGAGAATTTTTTCTCAGTTGGAGCAATTGAGAGAGTCTCCATCCCTGGAGGTTCTCCAGACACAGCTGGGCAGGTGCTGGAAAATCCCAGGCAGGCTTTGTTTTCCACACAAGGTGGCACCGGGTGATGGTTTGAGGTCCCCAGCAGCCTGGGTGCTCTGTGAGCTGTAAGATCACATCAAAAAGGAGATGTAATTCCCCTTGCCAGGACGCACAGCAACAGGGGCCTTTCATTTTCAGGGCTCCTCTTCTCTTACCCAGCCTGACTTGGATCAAGCCCTGGGCACCTTCAGGGAGGCCCTGGTTTTGTTTTTCAGGTGTACTGGGTGTGACTGCACACACAGGAAAGGTTTCCCAGCCCTCTCCTTACAATCCTGGGGTAACCAGCCACATGAAAGCCAAGCAGCACATCTGTGGACAGGCAGTGAAGGAGAGCAGTGACAAGAAAAATCCTGACCACCTTTAAAGCCTCAGCTCCGTGGCTTGAGAAGCAGGAGATGGAGAGCTGAGAGCCCATTGCCCTTCCACCCCGCCAGTGCTCAGCCCCTGCCCAGAGCGGAGCACAGGCCTCTGCCGTCTGCGGGACAGACAGACAGACAGAGCAGTTCCTGGTGCAGGGCAGCTGAGGGCACAGAGGGACAGTTTAACTCCCAGGCTGCTGTACAGGAGGAGCAGGGAGCAGCCTGAGAGCTTCTGTGCCAACAAGAACCCAGGCAAGGCCTCCAGCAGCGGGGGACAGCAAAGGACACCACTAAAACTGATTTCTGCTGCTTGCTTAGGTGCCACAGCAGTTGCGTATTAAGGGAATTCTGTGTTCCTGGGGGGCTCCAGAGCCTCTGGCTCCTGACAGGCCTGCTGTGAGCACTCCACACACAGCACCCTTGGCGCTTCTCTTTTTTTTGAATGTTGGTGAGTACCCACCTAGGCAGAGCTGTGGCCTAAGGAGGATTGTTACACAGCGACACACCTGACCCACTCACAGCCTCTTACCCTCATGGAACAAGATCATTTGCAACAGCACAAAAAATCAACAAATCCCACCCTTAAAAGCTCTAGGAGCCATAATCCAGGTGAGTCCTTACAAGGCTTTCTGCTGTTGTGGAAGTGAGTTTGGGTCTAGCACCTGAGTGATTGCTTGATGAAGCACTGGCTCCGTGCTTCATTTCCTGAAGGGATTCCTGCGGTGAAGGGAGTCAGTCATCCTCATGCAAAAACAGAGTCTATGTGTAAAACAAAGTGGTCACAAGAAACTCGACTGCTGACTCCTCACACCACAGGAAACAACGGTTTTGCTGTTCTGAGCTGAAAAAAAGGCTACATCATGCCTCCAGCAGCAATTTAGGAACTCCTTTAGGATCACACAGCATGAAAGGATTGTCCAGTTATGTTACAAATGGAGATGCACACGTGGTATAGCAGGATTTTAAGTAATATTTGACCTGGTGTAAAAAGACATGGACATTTTCAAGAATTCAAATGCTAAGAATGTAAGGATTTTGTATTAGTGGTATGCATCACGAAGGAGTATCCAGAAGTAAACACTGGACATGGAACTGGAGGCCCATCTTGAGAATTGTGCTCCAGCCAATGGTGATTGAAATAGCTGGGTTTAAGTTTCCACATTTTAAATACTTTTTCAGTTTGTCTGAGATTAAAAAGACAGATGGGAAGAGCTGGTATTTTATTTTAGACTATCTAGGCTGCGTCCTGAACCAAAACACTAACTGAAGCATTACCTTGCTTGTGTTTAAATCACATTATTGGTCATGCTGCTTGTGATATATAGAGTGCACAGAAACCCAATATTTTGATGAATACTATTTTGAATATAAACTAATACTCTCTGTTAAATATTAACTATCGACAGCAGGAACCAGCATTAGCATTGTTGAACAGCAAATCCAGGCGTTCTGTGATGTGTAGCAGTGCAGGAGTACTACAGAAAACTTAACTGTAGCACCAGCAAAAAAGCTTATTTTGCAGCTTAATTAATTGTTAACAATTAACACCATTTTAGTAGGCACTGCAATCTAAGGCTTAAGAATTTAAAAGCAACCAAGTGTACTACCTCAACATTCTATTACCTTGTATAATGTATCAGAAATCCAGGGTATTAAAAAAGCACTAAAGCCAGTTCCAGGTGGTGAACTCACTTCTGGCAGCAGGATGCCAGGGCAGTAAATGTGGTTCAGTTCTGTTCCGTATGGGAGGTGAAGCCCTGCTCCGATGGCTCTCTGTGTAACACACTGCAGCCCTGCTGGGATCACCCTGCCCACCGGAATGCCAGGGGAGGCAGGGGGCTGGCAGTACCTCAGAATGGGAAATGGGAAACC